CAGAGTTGGTCCGCATAAGGAGCAGGGCGCCCCCTGCTTGCATCCAGAAGCAGAGCCCAGGTTTGTGTGACACAATCCATACCAATCGCTCTGGCCTCTGGGGAAACCTGTAACATCCCTTGGTTTCATGGGAATGCTTCGCTCAGGATGAGTAGTGGATGAGGCAGAGAAGCAATCCCAATACACATGAATGCCATTGCCCCTCACTGTCCTCAGAGCTTCCCTGATGTTGATGGCCGCCCTATGGGCTCCTTTGACAGCACCGAGTGCCTGGCTGTTCAAACTGTGTGTCCAGGCACTGTGCCTCAGTCCTCCACCCATGGGCAAATGCTTCACCCTGACTCTCACAGAAATTATGTAAGCCACAGCATGTGGCCATCACCTTGGGGCAGATTGGACAGCCATGTGGCTTTGACTTAGCCTATTGTTAAACCTCTCCTTACTGGTGTCCATGTGCCCTGTGTAAGGCTTCATGAGCCAGGGCTATAAGGGATAATCTGGGTCACTGAGTATCTCTATGGGCATTTCCACATCCCCCAAAGTAATTTTCTGTCCTGGAAAGAAAGTCCCGGCCTGCAGATTTCTGTACAGGCCACTGTTCCAGAAGATGCCTGCATCATGCACCTTTCCAGACCACCCTGCATTTATGTCTGTGAAACACCCACGGTGATCCACAAGTGCCTGATGCACCAGGGAGAAGTATCTCTTCCAAGTGATGCACTCTGTGGCAAGGTGAGGTGGCGCTAAATGGGAATGTGTGTGCCTTCCATTCTCCCACCACAGTTTGCTAAGCTCATTTCTGCAAAGCCAGCCCCTCTGTCATCCACATTTCCCAGAGTCACAGCCCTACACCGCACAATGCAATTTATTGCCTTGCACACTTGCATAAGTGCTGTCCTGACAATAGACTTCCCCACTCCAAACTAATTTGCAACGGAATGGTAGCAACTGGGAGTCTCAAGCTTCTACAAAGCAATCACAACACACCTCCCTACTGAGAGAGCAGTTCTCAATTGGATGTCCTTGTTATGTAGTCAGGGACCAGCTCAGCACACAGCTCCTGGAAGGTTTCTTTATGCATCCTAAAATTCTGTAACCACTGCTCTTCATCCCACACCTGCATGGCAATGCAATCCTACCACTCAGTGCTGGTTTCCCTAACCCAGCAGTGACAGTCTACTCTGCACAGATGCTTTGTGACAGCCAAACGTAATGCCAAGTTGCTGCTGTTTGTGTCACTCACACTATCATCTTCCTCCAAGTCTTCCTCCTCTGACAGTATATTGACCACAGCATAGGAGAGACATCTGAGGTCCATCATTTCTCACAGCAGATGCTGGAGTGTGCAGCAAAAACTGGGAAGTTTCAAATGGCACAAAAGTTGCAAGCCCTGAGAGAGTTGTGAAGGAAGGAGGTGGCTGATAGGACGTTTTTCACATTCCTAAAATGCCTTGCACTGCATTTCACATTCCCATGGTGCCTAGCGACTGAAGGTGATGCCAGGCACTGTGGGATGCATCTTTCTGTCAATGGGGGAGCTAAAAATTTGGCCATGCTATGTTGACAGAGGGTGGCAGTGTAAACATGATTTGGCAACTTTTGCGTGTCAACATTACTTTCCTTGCCAAAACTTTCCAGTGTAGACATAGCCTAAAGGCTAACAAAGCAACATCATCTCCTATTGTTCCCAGTAGGATTGATATCAATCTGCCTTCAAGGAAGATGACAGCTCCTGATAAAGGGATTTTGCTGAGGGCCTCATTTTCCATCACCTGGCACCTTGTGAAATCATTTACCACTATGTAAAATGGGTGTAAAATGCTACCAGAATTTTAGTATTTCACGGTCACTTTGCACAGGTGTAAATGGTTACCAAGGTGCAAAGCAGTGAAGAATTAGGCACAGAGCATGAAATCTGTGTCCTGCCTACTAATATGAAAATAATGACTGGAATTTACCAAACTGCAAATGCCTACAGATCTTTACAAATTACTACTTGCAAATACCAAAAAACACTCAGTGCTCTAATGTCCCTTTTGTTTTTGTATGGGTCTTTGACTGCAATGGAAGAAAAATCTTGGTACAGACTTTCATCCGTCATTCTAGCTACAAGGCAGGTAGATGGGTGTCAGTTGCCTTCTCCTCTTGCACTCATCTGCTGCTTCCACTCTGCACCTGTCTCACTTCTTGCACAATTCAAGAGCTGCCAGAGAGCAAGAGCTAGAAAAAGGCAACCAGGCACCTGACCATGTGGAAGCATTAAACATGCACATATATTTACTCTCCAGAGATAGAGGAGGGGATGAAGCACACGAGGAAAAAAGAGTTAGATGCCTAGGAAGGGAATGGTTCGCCTGTGTGAAGGAAGTAAGAAAGAGACCAGGAACTGCAGAGAATAAGGCCGTGGTATCCAACCAATTCTGAAGCAATAGCCACTAAAGTGTAATAGCAAACTAGCCACACTCGACTGGCCAATAGCCACATGTGGTCAGTGGCTAGGATGTTGGATATCACAGGACTAAGAGAACGTGCTGGGAAGGAGCTGAGGAGAGGCAATGGGATACACAGATGAAAATGGGAGAGTTAGGGGAAAGAATAAAACGGAAATGGGTATGTGGTGCTGGTAAATCTGAAAGGGGTAATCAAGAATGAGAGGAAAGAAGCTACTTAAAAAAAAGGAAAGGGAGGGACATAGAGCAATAAAACCGTGGTCAGATCTCCAGCAATTAATTCAGGGAAGTCTTATTGCCTGTGTTATCTGGAAAGTCAGACTAGATTGCAATGGTCCCTTCTAGCCTTTTAATCTATGAATTATGATACTGTACATGTCTAGGGCAGCTTTCACCAAAGGATCTTAAGACACTTTAAGCACATTGCCTCAGAACTCTGCTGTGATGCATGTTATCCTCATCTGTAAAATTGAGGCATTGCCCCAAGATATCTCAGGAAGTCTGTAACAAAGCATGGAATACAATTCAACCATCTTCTTTTTTTTTCCAGACTTTTGCTTAGATCAGAGGTGGGCAATATTTTTTAAAAGGGGCCACTTCAAAGTGACACCAGGCTGCCCTGGAAGGGGCAGGGCCTCGGGTGGAAGGGGTGGGGCTAGGAGACTTCTTGTGGTCCCCTTCCCACAGACCCTGATTGGCCTGGGAGTAGGAGAGCCCATAAAGTCTCCCCCCATCAAGAGAATCACCAGCTGTTTTAAAACAGCTAGCAGTTCCCTCTAGGCACCACAGCAGGAGGAGACCTCACGCTCTCCCCTCTCAAACCACCAGGCCAATCAGGACGTAGGGGAGGCGAAGCATGAGAAGTCTCTTGCCCCCTGCATCCACCCTGCTATTGGTTCCCTCTGATGCCACCCACCCTTAGTGTGGGGAGAAGACTTTGTGCACATCCTTGTCCCCAGGTCTCAAGTGGCCTGGGATTGTAGTGGCAGGGGGGCTGTAGCCTGGATCCACTGGCTTGATAGGTCGGATCTGGCCCATGGAGGCCCCATTGCCCACCCCTGGCTTAGACCATTAGAAAATGGTTGCTTTCTAAAACTTGATTTTTTTTTTTTTTTACAAATTGCCTCAGTAAGGGTTTAAAATTATTTTTTTTTTTGATATACAAATTACATCTCTTAAAACGTCTACTTAAAAAGCAGTCTGTGTCCTTATCAGCAAAACTATATAGTAGCACCACGTGGAGCTCTAGACATAACGACAGGATAAAAGCATTAATACTGTACGGTTTTCTATGTGTATATTTGCATACACTTCATGATGGCAATTACAGGGAGGGTATTTCCTGGCGTTTAATAACTGGACTTGATTAAGCTACTGGATCTTCTTAGGCTCTTAACACTTCCTGCGGATCATTAACTGCCAGGAAACGTGCTCTTCATCTGCCATTTTGATTATATCTAGTTCTAGCAGTTCATCTGTGGATACATAACAACAAAGTAATGTACACTACACTGCACATTTCTTTTAAAATATGAAAACATGGATAAGTTTTAGGGTTGGTTGGTTTAAGAAACACAGAACAATAACACTGTGTCATTTACTTCAGAACTTTATATAAGATGAGCTCAAAAATCCTACCCAAGTACTTCTTTCTCCTCAAACATTACACAAAATATTAGTTAGAAACCTAGCATCATTTCATGGCACTTTGTGGCTGTCAGAAGTCATAGGTGTGATGTCCTGGCAGGCATCTTTCTCTGTCCAATGATAATCATTCAGATGCGTGTGCGCGCTCCTCCTGTGTGCTGCAATGACTTTGTGCAAGTAGCCTACACAGCAGACTCTGAGAGAGCCCCAAAGACCACAGAAGCGACAAGGAGTCCTGTGGCACCTTATAAACTAACAGATGTATTGGAACATAAGCTTTCATGGGCAAAGACCCACTTTGTCAGATGCAGACTAACACAGCTACCCCTCTGATACTTGACCCCAAAGACCACAGAATCAAATAAGGGACCCAAGACAGGTTTACTGTATATTAAACATAGTAATAGCACTTGGTAGACTATAAGGACACGAATAATGTGCGCCCATGAGAATGGACTCACCTGTCAGTGACAGAGATTCATCACTGCCCTTTTGGCTGGACAAAAAGTCAAGTCGAGGTACCCCCTCATTTATAGACAAACAATCTGTGATACACATCTTATGACATCTTACACATTTCATGACTTGTTTGTTACCTCCTCTTTTACTTTCTGCCAAAACATTCCTATTCACCACCTGTGATTGTGCTTTCACTCCTAATGTTTCAGATAAAATATCACGATTCATTGCTTTTGTCAAACTATTCTATTGTGTGCTAGGTTGGGGTGTCCTTGTATAGCCCTGTTGGAATGCATTTACATGTTCTATGTGTTTTAGCAGTGCCAGCGGTACTAATGCCGAGTTCATGTCCCTGACATGGACCTGCAGGCAAACATCTGCTTTTGACAGGTTTTGCTTGTTTCTCATTGTATAACTTTTACTCACTTTGGTTCACGCCTCAGGCCTTACACAAGCCCATGCTTCAGGCTCTTTCTTTCTCCTACGCACTCCACCTGGCAAATGCAGAAAAGAAGGTAAGTTTAATTTCATTTTTTCTTTACAGATTATGCTGGTAGTAGTTTTCTACGCTGTGTACTACATAGTCCTAAGCATTTGTTTCACAGCATTCAGGTATGAATTTCTAGCATTTATAATTAATATGCCTAAACATAAATGGGACATTTATGATTTACAAGCTGGAGGAGCAGCGGAGAGGGAGAAGTCTAGAATATGTTCTCAGTTATGTTGTAAACACAGTTTTAAGCATCAGATGGCTTGAACTTTCATTGAACAAATTAGGACGTGGACACAAAAAAATGTTTTAGTTGCCTGTGTGGCTCAAATTTCTTCATTTTTTATCACATCAGTTGACTTATATTTATTGAATACCTGAGCACTAGGGGAAAGGTTACAAGTTTTTCAAATAAAGGTGTTTTTTGTGGTTGCCAGAAAGATAAGTTGCATTGCTTCAGAAAGTCATTAAGAATGCTTGGGATGTCAAATTGATATTAAATCAGAGTGAAGACCATAGACAGCATGGGAAGGCAAACCCACAACACACAGTAGCAGTAAACCACAGATACTTGTGAATTTTTCCATCCCAGCTTATTCAATTTGGAATCTTATTTAAAAGAGCTCATAGAGTAAGCTACATTTAGCAATGCGTTAACTGGGACTGTAAATGAATTAACATTGGTAGTGTATGCAAAGGTTTGCAAATGATTTTTTTTTAAATCTCCACAGATTGGAAATGTTGGATGGTTTGGCACCTTTTGATTTTAAGACAAATCCCTCATGGATAAATCCAAATTATTTAGGTAACTTGATTTTGTTTTCGTTTTTGTAGAAGTAAGAAAATAGACTGTTTGTACCCATAAACCCAGCTTCCTCTCCCTGCATGTATATGTACAAAGTATCGCAAGATATTTTAATAATGCCTCTCCACCTAGCTTCAATATTTTTAATGATGTTTTAATTGTATTGAACATGAAGTGTTTGCTCATCTCTCCATAGCTCTTCAACAGGGTATCACTATACATTAAGATATTTCTTGTCTTCTTAGGCTTTGTCTACAGTGCAAAGTTTTGTCATGAAAACCTGCCTTTTTGGTGATAAAATGGTGAGAGCATACACACTGCAATGGGACTTTTGGTGGGAAAAATACCTAGTTTCGGTGACAAAAAACTTCCACCCCGTGAAAGACTTTTTTCTTTTCCCCTCCCTTTGTTGTTGACAAAGAGCCACTGTAGACAGAGCTGGCTTCTGCCAATATCCTCAATGCCTGTCCTGATGGCTCTGCTCTGCTTTGATTTCTGCTGCCCTGAAGTCATGCACCCCTTGTCTTTCAAAGCTCTGGGAAGTATCTGAGAGCTGAGTGAGCTGCTTTGTTTGGGGAACAAACAAAGAGCAAATAATTGGACTGCTTCTGTTCTGCCCTGCACTAGGAACACAGGGGCAGGCAGACTGCTGCTGCAGGGGGAGGAGGACAGGCTGCTGTGTTGTTTTGACATTCCTCAGCACAGGGAGCTCACTGAGCTATACATAATACTGCTCCCAGTAGCTGAGGAGGCTGTGGGAGAATTCAGAGGGAATCCCAAGATGCACAGAGATCAGCTCTGCCTTTCCACAACACGGCACTGTGGGATACATACCTACAGTACATTACTTACACTATCAATGATGGTGCTCCCAGTGTGAACTGATCTGTTGACAGAGGGAGTAAGTGTGAACACCCTATGGCAATTTTTCTTTTGTTGACTTTTGGATGTTGACAAGTTCTGTTGGCAAAACTTGGTATTGCAGACATAATTTTACTCGTTGCTAGCCTTTTCCATTTCTCTCTTCTTCCCAATTTGCATCTCTCAATTGAAACCAATTGTTCTACCATGAAGACGACATTACTAAATTTAATCTCTACTATAGCAAAGCTTCCTATAATCCATATTCAACTCAGCTACTAATAAGGCCTTCTAAATAATAAAACAAATTATTAATCACATAAACCTCGTTGACATAAATGGTGATTTTTTTCAGTGCAAGGAGTGAATACAAAGTAAGATAAGACTTCAGGATTTTGTCCAATGGCAATGCAATATATTAAATCGAGAATAAAGTATAGTTTGAGCTAATACAAATCACTGTACATATTTATCCAAGATCTTAAAGACAGTGACCCTTTCCAAGCCATTACTGTCTGTAGGAGAAAAAAGAAGCATTTACATAAATTAAGCATCAGCAGGTTTGGACTCTATGTTGCAAAAGGAAAACTACACTGGAATTAGAGCTGTTCAAATATAAATCATTTAGATCATAATCTTAACCTCTAACAGGGATAGAAAGTGAAGGGATGCTTGTTCAGTACTATTATTGATTTGATTTTAAATGTAAAAAATATTTAGATTAGGAGAAAAATGGATTGAATTAGTTTCCATGTACACAATGCCAATGTAAATACTGAATCTCAAACTGATTGATAGAGTTTGTATTTAAATTATAACATTAGTTTGTTACCAGACTTCACATGTACAGTGCTCAACAAGATATATTGAAGATATATTAAGCTGGTTGTACAATATAGTCAACCAGCCTGGACCCATTTTGGGCACTAAAGGTTAACCCATCAGTTAGAAAAATGTCATTGCTACCACGTTAGGCACATACGTAATGGTCATCATAAGGATGGATATAGATGCCAAAAGTAGTGCAGTTTTTCTATATCATGTAATGTGTAAAGTGAACATTATTGGCTTTCAGTCGGAAAAAAATCAATATAATCACAAAAAAGGTCATCGCTCAAAGAACTGGTTTAATTTTGACCAAAATGATCAAAGCTTCTAAAATACAATGATAATGCAATGATGTACTCAAAATAGTACTGTTTTGGAAAGCTTTGGAATTATTTAATCCCAAACAATATATTTTATGCATTACCCCATACTCTTTTGCCTTTGGTTAAAGCAAAAATCTATAGTTATATGACTGTATGAGCTTGTTTATACCATTTACTACATCAAAATATTTATCATTATTTGTAGAAAACCTTCTCAAATCATTCTATTCTATTTGCTATTTTAATTAAATTATCCAGATAATAATGCCTTACTTCCAACTATAAATCCTGTATTTTTGATGTTATTTCCTCTGCTGGGGGCATAAGTAGAAAACATGTGGTAAAATTGTAATTATCACTGAATATAATGACAGTACATTATATTCAGTGATATAATGACTCTAAATGGAACAGTATGACTCTAAATGGAAGGGCAGTAGAACATCTTGTATGACTATCGTGTGAATAACAAAAATATAACCAGGTACTCTTATGTAACCTCTAAGTGTAACTATGAGGTCCTGAATGTGTAATGCAACAGTGCTTCAAGCTATATTTACCCAGAAAATAGACACAGAACGTAGCAGATTGTTGAAACATTTCTACTCCTCCTCAGAACCTGCCCTGGATGTGTTCAGTACTCTGTTGTCACCCTTGTTACTGCACTGTTGTATACCTTGGACAACCTCAAAGCCTTCTTGTGGCATTTGCATCTCCCTGTTTCACAGGTATTATCACAGCCCTGCTCCACAAAGGTGATGACAGCTTGTAGAGCAGGGGATAGCAGGACTGTATTAGGAACAAGATGCTCAATGCTGCCTATCACTTATCTGTTGCTGACAGGGGACACTTGAAGATACCGATCTGTTTGCATGGCTACATACATGATGGATAAATTGCACAATTCAGGTGATGCATGGAAGATCCCATTGTTGATATTAGTTTCTCGCCAGTTTTGTTCTTAGCAAACAATTTAAAGCACTTGTTGTCCAGATATGCTTCCTTCTTATCACAGTACCGTCAAGACATCAGTGAAACACAGATTGCCTTAGTCTCTTTCTCTGGCTGAGATACACTGCTCCTAAGAGGTTTCAGATTCTCTGTGAGTGCTGCACTCTGTACTCAACTGTTGTCTTCAGCCATCTCTTGCTTCCCATGACCCTGAAACCTTCAGCACCAATGTCTGGCAGCATAAGACTGCTAAAGTCTCTTCCCAGGTCCATTGCCACGCTTCCTTTGACCAGCAACAGTTTTGAAAGAGAATTCATCCACCCCACAAATGAATGCAATGTTGGTGTCCAAGCTCCACATTAACATTCTATTTAATTTAAATATTTGCTTTGCATGAATAACATATAAGACTATAAACTTAAAAAACCCCAAAAGATCTGGTAGCACTTTATAGACTAACAAAACATGTAGATGGTATCATGAGCTTTCGTGGGCACAGCCCACTTCTTCAGATGATCGGAGTTATGAGTTTAGGATGTGCAGACCCAAAATAAAAGACCACTGGTCTGTAAATGTGCTTCCTAGCATTGAGTTCTGGTACTGCAGAGCAATTGCCAGGTGCTACTTTCACTGTTTATGCAATGTTGTGAAACCCACCAGCAAAATGACCACATAGAAGTCTTTGGTCACATTTCACAATCCAGTCACTGGGAGGAGATAGTTTGCGATGTTTGATTTGTGCTGTGTATTTGATGTCATCTTCAAGCATTGCTTTGTTAATAGTAATAGAGTTCTGAACTTCTTGTGTTCGGACATGGCCTCGCCAGGCACTCTCATCACAGTGGATGAATTATCATTTACATAATTGTCACCATGAACAACAGTGCATTGACACATTAGTCCAAGGATAATATTCGGCACCAGATTTGACAGCTCCCCAAAAGTTTTGCTCTTGTCAGTGTTAGGTAGATGCAGCACACCATCAGTTATAGCTAATGTTAGCTCATTGTCTGTTGATAGCTCAACCATTGAGAGATTTTTCTCCAGACAAGACATCATGCTACTCTTTTGGGTCTTTCATAGTGATCTGACCAAGCTGTAGATGGAAACAGAACAGATGCCGATTCACATATAATCAAATCCTATATGTCAACATCTCTGGACCAGGCAAGAGCTAATAGCTTGCTGAATATGTGGAAATCAATAACTTGTGCTTCCTTTGATCAATCGTTTTGTTGAAATGACCAAATTGAGATTATGCCTTTTTATGGGATCAAGGAGGTCTCTCGCACACCTTTGCAGTCTACTATTAAAAACTGCTCCATTTCTTGTGTGCCATTCTCTCTTAGTATGCTCAAATCTTCTGCAATTTCAGGTGGGGGCACAGCGAACATTGCACTTGCAATACTCACAAGTGACTATATGTTGTCTGGCCTTGCTCCAGATTCTGTGTTAAAAGAATCTGTTGTTCTTTCAGTCACATCTTTTATACTATCTTGGACAGCAGCAGCATCTGGAGGCATGTACTTTGTGGTAGATGTGTGAGTTTGTGGAAAACTGTTGCTGAAGGCTGCATTCCACACATTTGTTGTTTCATGGCTCTTGCAGAGACACTTGAACACTTTTTACAGTGGGGGTACTCATGGGCGGTGGGTGAACACCTATTTTGGGAAAGCAAGGTCACTGCCCCTGATCCTTCTGCCCAAGACTCTGTCCCCACATGCTGGAGCCCAACCCTATGCCCCCGTCAATAAAAGAAAAAGCCATAAGGAGGCCCCCAAACTGGAGAACCCCTGGCCCACACATTCCAACCACATTGGGCTGAGCTGCTGGCCCTCCTGACACACCATCACTCTCAATCCCCTTCCCAGCACCCAGACGAGCCTCCTCAGTCCACCAGTTCTCTGTCTCACTCCTCATTGCCCTGCCCACAGGAGGAGGGATGCAGTGAGCAGCTGGGACCTTCAGGGGGTGTAGGATGGTGCGGAGGAAGCAGTGGGGTTTCCAAGGAAGCAGAGGACATCACGCTCAGTTGTCCGGTGGGCAGCTGACAGGAGCACCAGGGAAGGCAACGTCCCTTCCCTGCCGCCCAAAGGGGTGCTGAAACCAGTGGTTCCCCAAACTCATCTCACACCCCTCCTTACCTCTGTCCAAGCCCCCTCTTTCCAGAGCTGGGTCCAGGACCAGGCAATGGCTCCAGTAGGAGAAGAGGGACACAAACAAGGATAAGGGTGCTGAGACTGGAACTACAGTTGGGGGTGGGAACAAAGTACAAGCATGGGGCCAGGAGCAGAGTTCCAGGCCCAGCATCAGCAGCAGGTGGGACCAGGAGCAGAACTAGGAGCAGAGCCCCAGATGCAGGGCCATCAGCTGGGACCCCCTCACAAAACCTGGGGGTACTACAGCATCTCCCTGAACTCATGCTTCTGCTACATTTATACAAACCCACCTAGCATAATCCACATGACAACACTGGAACATAGTATAAACAAGCTCATACTGTCATGTGACTACAGGCATAAAGCATGGGAAAATTCATACAGTATGTCACCTAGGGCTAAATATTTCTCCAAATTTCCAAAATGGTACTGTTTTGAACACGTTTGCATTATAAATTGTATTTAGAAGCTTTCTGCCAATTCTTGGTAAAAAGACTATATTTCTTCAAGTTATGGCTCTTTTTTTGATTTTCTCAAGTTCTGATAACATTTAAACTTTATGGCTATGTCTAGACTGACATGATTTTCTGCAAATGCTTTTAATGGAAAAGTTTTTCCGTTAAAAGCATTTGTGGAAAAGAGCGTCTAGATTGCCACGGACGCTTTTCCGCAAAAGCACTTTTTGCGGAAAAGCGTCTGTGCCAATCTAGACGCGGTTTTACACAAGAAAGCCCCGATTCCCGATCATGAAAATGGCACTTTTTTGTGCAAAACAATACTGCATTGTCTACACTAGCCCTCTTGCGCAAAAGCATTTGCTCAAGAGGGCTTTGCCCGAACGGAAGCAGCATAGCATTTCCGCAAGAACACTGACTATCTTACATGAGATTGTCAGTGTTCTTGCGGAAATTCAAGCGGCCAGTGTTTTTCCGCAAAAGCAGCTGCTTTTGCGGAAAAGCTTGCCAGCCTAGACGCAGCCTATGAGATATAGAAAAATTGCATCACTGACCACAATATATGTGCCTAGCACGTGGTAGCAATGAAGTATTACCAGCTAGTGGCTTACCTAAACTCACTAATAAGATCCCTTTTAAAATATGGCTGGGAGACTAATGTGTTAGTTAGGGCAGTAGTCTCTTTTCTGTTTAGAAAGTGTTTAGCTGTTAGCAGAACAGTGCGAAATAGACGATAACAGCAGCTACTGAAGGTCTGTTGACACAAAGATAGATAAGATTCAAGTGTTCGACTGAGATCACAAATGAATGCGATCTTGTTCTTTTTATGACAGGCCTCAGTTGTGCACATTACTAAAGTGAGTTGTGACCAAAGAGAAGCCCAAAGCTGATAACTGAGGTTACACATATGGATTAAGGTATTTTATAGGGAAGCTTATACAGAACTTCCCTGCACTGTGCCTGGCTCAAATTAGTTTCCCATTTTCATGAGCATTAAAATGATTAGTAAAATTTAAAGGGACACAATCAACTTGAAGTCTAGTCAATTAAAGAAAAAAAGAGTTAACAGTAGCTTCAGGTACTCTACTTGCTCAACTATATCTTCCAGTTTTGGGGTGAATCTACAATCACCTTTTCCTGATTTTTAATTTTTCCTCTCTCTCACTGCTACGTGAAACAGCTGCAAAAGCAATAGTGGAAACTATTAAATAACTGACTATGTAAGGAAAAGAATGAAAGTGACAATATATACATGCACAAATTAAACTGAAGAAACACAGAAAAATATTTTACTCTCTGTCATATAACCTTAACTATTACTTGCAGTACTGGTAGGATAAACATTGACTGTGTCCCTTTAAAAAGGTGCTTGGTCCTGCCGCGAAGGCAGGAGATTGGACTTGGTGATCTCTCGAGCTATTCTATGATTCTATGGAAAAGTAAGGTATTATACTTTGAAAGTTCTGTACCAACTACAAAGATCTTGCAATACTTATGCATGTGAGTAGTTCCATTGACTTCAGTGTCACTAGTCACATGCTTAATGTTAACCAAATGCATTGGGATATTTAGGATCAGGGCCTTAATTTACTTTAAGATGAAATACCGGCTCCTTGAAAACACATTTCATTTTCCTAATATTTTTGCTGAGGCAAGACTACATTTATAATACCCATAGTGATGATTTCTTAACAGACAGCTTTTTTTTCTTTTATTGACAGTTAGGACACCAAGGGATAGGTCTATCCGTACAGTTCCTCCTTAGTGATGTCTCCCTGTCGAATTGGCACGTAAGTGTGATCATCTGTAGCAGACACTATTGCATACAAAGGTGTTTAAAAAACAAACCCACCATTACTTATGATATAGACGATAGTTCCGTGCCATTTTAGCATGAAAACAAAGGCACATTCAAGTTATAAAACCACATTATAAATGGAAGCCAGTGGATTGTACTTCATTTTTTGTTATTAGAGAACTGAGACTTGGCCAGAACACACCCCAAAAGAATCTTTTGTAACAGGGACTTTTGCTCAGTAGTGAAATATTGAGCCATTCCCTTCTAGGTCACTGCTTCACATTTAGACTCCTGTCAACTGCATTGCATAGGAAGGAACTAAAAAAACCTCACACCTAGGATTAACCTGACAGTATTTTTGATCCTCCTATTATAGCTGCCACATGCAGCAATTACCCACCTATTTTTTTAGGGTAGACCAGGCCACGGGTTAACTTCAGAAATGAGAACTGCTAGTTGCCATTTATGAGAAGGATGTGAACCAACCTTTCAAAACTCTGTTTGGAGTAAGTACCCTATTTTTCTTTATAGTTCTTCTGATTTCATTGGAGATAACCTACTTTGTTTGTGGGCTGCTGTTTGTCCTGATTGTGGAAGAATGGGTTTGGGACTATGCTATTACTGTTACTGCTATTCATATTATCATAACTTCAGCTGGTAAGTGAGCATGTTATTAAGTATATGCACTGTGCCATTCATTGAATAGAAGCTAGTCAAATACTATTGATCTTATATTTATTGAACTAATTTTGCCCTTTACTTCAGATTTTCCCATCAAATGTTCATCTTTCTTGCATTGAAGCAGCACATATAGATGAGTTACGGCCATTTAAAAATCTTGTTGCAACAATTTCCAAATGTTAAATTATCTCACATTGTTTTCAGGAGGTTTCACTGGGAACAGGGCAGCCAAGGAAAGAAGCTTACCTGCTGGCAGTTTCAGCCTGGTGGGTCCTCAATCTTAGGCCGTGTCCAGACTCAGGGGTTTTTTCGGGAAAAGTAGCCTTTTCCCGAAAAAACTTCCCCTGCGTCCAGACTCAAGCCGCGTTCTTTCGAAATTATTTCGAAAGAACGCGGCTTTTCTTTCGATGGCGGTAAACCTCATTTCACGAGGAAGAACGCCTTCTTTCGAAAGCTCCTCTTTCGAAAGAAGGCGTTCTTCAATGTAAAGAGGCCATCTTCGAAAGAGAGCATCCAGACTCGCTGGGTGCTCTCTTTCGAAAAAGCGGATTTCTCTTTCAAAAGATCCGCCTGCAGTCTAGACGCGATCTTTCGAAAGAGGCTCTTTCGAAAGATGCTTTCGTAAAAGCCTCTTTCGAAAGAAGCCTGCAGTCTAGACATAGCCTTAGTGTCCTATCCCTTTAAGGCTCAAATATAAATACCTCAGCCATAATTCAGTGTAAAATTTAAACTTGCCTCAGCCAAGTCTATGACAAAAGCTCTAAATCAATCCAAGATCTACCTCAAACCCAAATACTTTTCCCCCCGCCTCCTTTGTGCCCCTTCTCAGAGGCCTGCCCCAGTTCACTTGCTGCTCCTCACTTTCACCAACCTGGGATAGAGGGTTGGGTTGCAGACTGTGGTCTTGGATTAAAGGATTTGGCGGGTGAGAGGCTCTGAGCTGAGCTTGGGGCAGGCAGTTGGGATGTAGGAGGGGGTTCTAGGTGCAGGCTCTGGGAGGGTGTTTGGATGCAGGCGTGCTTGGGGCTAGGGCAGGGGCTTGGGATGCAGGAAGGGTTCATGACTGGGGCAGGATTTCAGGATGTGGGCACCAATTGGGCACTGCTTACCTCAGGCTCCTTCTGGGTGGTGGTGCAGTGGGGCTAAGGCAGGCTCACCCCTGTCCTAGCCCTGCACCACTCCCTAAAGCAGCCAGCAAACTCCATCCCAAGTCCTACTGTGCCCCCTTCTGTTCTGTGGAGATAGGATACAGGGTGGGAGAGGGGGCACCTTGACATCAGCACCCCTCCTCTCCCTCTCCTGCCCTGCACAGAAAGCAGAGGCTCCTGAGGAGACATCTCCAAGCCAAAGGGCAGGGAGTAGGGAGGCAGTTGAAGTACTGGGCTTGATAACCTCTTGGCCAAACCAGTTAGGATCCCCTGTCAGAGGTTCCAAGATCTACCGGTAGATCCCGATCTACTGGCTGGTGACCACTGGTCTAAGTTGTTGGGATTTAGCTGAAATGAGCCACAAGGAAAGCAGAGCGTAATTTCTGCTCCAGCATCCTTTTCACTCTGCAGAAAAGAGAAACATTCTGCAAATGAGGCTCATCAACTGTACTTGTGGGAACACCTGCTGATCTACCCATCTCTGTTAGCAGGGTGCAGGGATGGCTGACTGGGAGATATGTTTAACCCCATCCTTGCCAGAGCCAACGTGGGGTCTATTTATCCCATCACAATGCTTTTATAGAGAATTTGTCTACCCATTCTATTATTCTTACTATTTTTATCCTATAATTTAGAAACAGGAAAGGAGTCATAGATCATCTGCCTCTCCCAGTTATTTGTGTGTCTTGTCCAGTTTGGTTGTAAATATCCTAAGGGATGAGACTTCCCCATTTCCCATGAGAAATTGTTCCAGAGATCAACAGACTTCACCATTAGAATCAGTTTCTTGATATGCTGAATAAAAAACCTTGATTCTGCAGCAATAAGCTCCACTTGGAATACCTTCTTGCAGGATCAGGGTGGTGTAATATTTCCTTTAAAGGTTTTCATCCCATCCTTCCAGTTTTATAGCCCTGTTAATCCTGCTAAATAATTTCTCTTTCCTTAGAAACAATTACTGTTAAGGAAAATTACAAAAACCCTGCACCATATTGGAGTTACCAGGGAGGATGGTTTCCATGGTTATCTTATGCATTTTATTCAATCCTCATTAAGAAAATACAATTAATAATTCAATTATTATTATTATTATTATTATTATTAATTTTTACTGCAGAAATATAAGTCCCGAAACCCTACCCCAGTCATGAACCTCCTCCTGCACCCCAAACCCCTGCCCTAGCCCTGAGCAACTCTGCATCCAAACACCCTCCCACAGCCTGCACCTAGAACCCCCTCTGGTATCCCAACTGCCTGCCCTAAACTCATCTCAGAGCCCCTCTCACACTCCAAATCCCTTAATCCAAGACCAGAGCCTGCACCCCAACCTGCTGCCCCAGCCTACTGAAAGTGAGGGAGGATAGGAGAGGAAGGGAAGGAGGATGGAGTGAGCAGGGGCGAGGCCTCAGAAAAGGGGCACAAAGGAGGTGGGGCCAGGGTATTTGAGTTTGAGGTAGATCTTGAATTACACTTAATTTCAAAAAGGGATTTCATGCTTTAAAAGGTTGGAGACCCCCTGCACTAGATACTATACAAGAGGCAGTCTCTGCCTCAGAGAGTTTACATTATAAGCCCTTAATCCAGGAAATAATTACACCTTATTTAACTTCCAAAGGGATGTCTCACAGTAGCAAAGCTTATCTAATGTGCAAGACTCAGTTTTCTTCATGTAAGAAATAACCCTAAAATAATGTATGATGTAACTTTTTCTCATTTTACAGTTATGTCTGAATTCCCTCTGATGCCGCACTGGTGGACAGCTTTAGGTACTGGTCAATTATAAAACTGTGAAATAGTCACAAACTGCGTGGATTCCTAGTATTTATAAAACAGTGGAGATAAGTGAAATTTTTTGATCAAACCTATTTTTGGCATAAAATATAGATTCAGTGACACAAACATTTGGTCAAAAAAACAAACAAACAAAAAGTACCACCCTTTCTAAATGTCAAAAAGAAACATTTTAGTTTTTTCTAGTGACTTTTCGTTTGCAAAGTTCCTTTAATTTTTTTAAACAAAAAATATTTAAACACACATAAGCTTGTTTTGATTCAGTGAAAATATTGAAACTCCCATTACTCATCTAGTTCCAGTTATAAGATTTCCCTCTCTATCCAATGTATGTGTGGTGTATAATGGGGGACACCCCCATCCCAATAAGAAGTCTAATGAAGTCCTCTGAACTTAACCACTACAAAATAGGCCTCCTGCCAGGTCTGCTCTGGCTGCAGGAAGCAAGCTTAAGAAGAAGCTTGTCATACACGGGTGTGGTAATTAAGAGGAAAAAGCTGCTGTGCCTCTGAAATAGATGTATCTCAAGAGTCATCATAGCACAGGAGAGGGAAACAGCTGACAGATCTCTGCAGCTTCCAAAGACTTACCATACCAGGACAAGCTGATCACCATAGGCAGAGGTAAACTCTGACTGGAAGTCCAATTGTGCCCAATGGACATATATAAACCAGAGGTTTTTTTTAGGCAACTCAGAGATTGAATGTATCCTTTTTTGGGAGACATACCTCCCCCAGAAGAGAACACTGAAAGGCTGGAGTAAATTTCCTAAGTAAAGAAAGGACTTTGGAAGGGAGAAGAGACCCTGAACCTGCCTGAATGTGACCTCAGGGAAAAGCTCATCTTAATAGTTCAAACAAGAAAGATAGTGACATGTATATTCCCTACCCAATTTAATAGATACTATTTTAAAAAGGCAAGTAGTTCAGACCTCATGTTTGCCAAGCCTTAAAATCTATATTCTAGGGCCAAATCCTGCTCAGTTTATGTACATTAATATCAATCACATTGATACAGTGAATAGATCCATAAAACTGCATGAAGTCAACAGGAATGCAATAGGACGGATCTGGGTTCTGATTTATATCCTGCTCCCATTGAAATGAATGGCAAAACTCACACCAACTTCAGTATATAGAGATGCCTGCCTCCTATACGAGAATCCATTACTTTTGAGATTTAGAAAAACCTGTGGAAGCCAGGAGCAGTTAACAAGTTTCCAGAGCTGTACTGAAATCCTCGGTAAAGAGACAAAATTCTGGACCTGCAACAGGTTCTGCATAGGCAAATGCCAGTGACCATACAGAGTCAGTTGTGTGATCAGGCCAAAAAGATGAAAATAAAAGGCCTCGTTGTTAGAAACGAAAGAGAAAAATCAATATTTTCAAAATGAAAAAAGCAAAGTCACTGGAATGAGGAGTTTCACTTTCTTTGTATTACCAGAGAAGTGTGTAACAAAAACTACTCTCTCATTAATTATTATTATTTATAAAAATCAGATCAGTTTAAGTATTATTTTAATGTGTGTATACCAACCGTAATATTAATACAGAATATTCTTACATTTCCTTTCAGGAGCTGCCTTAATTTTGATGATTTGTGGAGGACAGATTTTGGCATACTGCTTATTCAAAAACAACTTAATTTACCCAGTACTTGATGATTTTTGAAAAGCAAAAAATAGACCTTTGTATCTGAGTCTGTATTATTTCTATGATGTAATTTACATTAATAAAGTAAGATACACTATCAAGACTATAAATCTAACATTTACCTACTGTACCATTAATTTCTTACAGCTGTATACAAACTCCCTGCTATTACTTTTTGCTGTTTGTGGGGGTATTTCTCTCTAAGCAAACATTGAAACATATTCCCTTTCCCTAAACATAAACCAATCAAAAAGCGAGAAAGGGATCAAGGCCAGCAGCACAAGACTCATGTACAACCCTATAACAAAGCAGTATGCATTCAAGGAAGAGAAGAAAAAATTGGTAAGCAAAGAGACCTTAATTTCAAGCTTCCAAGGTTGTTGTTTTGTAAACTGTGAAATACAATTTATTTTACAAAGTGTCAATACATACTTGGGTTTGTGTCTGGTTTTCCATTACAGTTTCTTTGTGCCATTCCAGTGGTACAAAGAAATTTCAAAGCCGTCATCACTTGCTCCCTGGGTCTCCTTCATACAGGTGAATCCCTGAATAGCATACAGCTAGTTTAGCTAGCTCTGTACCACCACCTCTTGCAGTCCGCAACATATGAAGTTGAACATAAAAGGGACATGACCACTGAGCAACAACCTCCAGCTGACCCCTGGCTTTCACAGCAGTGCATAGGGAATGGAGACACAGGGAGCGAAATGTATGAAGAGCAGCCTTAAGGGTGTTCTAACTCCACTACGGAACCAATAAATATTTGGTGGTGCTGGAATTGGGAAAGGCAAAGATTGTTTACAGCCACTTTTGCACCCATTCTTTTCTCACTCCCTGTGTTCCCAAGGTCTAGCCTATAGATTGCAATTATTTAAAAAAACACAATACTGTCTTAACATTGATCTTCATCTGTACATATAATAGACTTTATCCTGCAGTTCATGCTAAACATGACTCCCTGTGAGCCAAATTCATCTTACATGCAACTCCAGTGACTTGAGTTGAAAGCAAGAGTGAATATGGCCTGAATTTGGCCTGAGTAAGGACAGCAAAACTGGACCATATAGAGCTTCACGATTGCTTTAAGCAGCGGTTCTTAAGTTGGTAGTCATGGAATGTAATCTCAGCGGGTGGAGGATGGCGAGGGACATAAAAAGATTAGAGAAAAAAAGTACTATGCACATTTTACCCACAGCATTGAATAATTAGTGTAGCTGATTCCTCCAGACATATCAGATCCTCAGATGACACTGTGATTTTTAACAGACTACGTTTGCACAACATTATACAAGCCATTGCCATTTGTGCATTAATCCATTTGCTTAAATCAAATACGTTTGAGAACCATGTGGCTTTAGAGTATTAAAACTTGTATTGATGAATGAATGTACTTATGGTAAAAAGGGGAAATTTGGGAGACTCACCAAATAACATGCATTTAGCGCTTATGAATAACACACAAGTATATTTAGAGGCAACTCATATCTCCAAGTTTATTGCATTTCTTGGATTCGAAGAGAAAAACCAAAACAAACCTAGAACTACAGTCAATGAATGCCTATTACAGGCCTGATTTTATCTTGGTGAAGGATCTTTCTATTGACTTCAGAGAGATTTGGATTGAATGCCAGAACATTTTTAAAATGCCACATCTACATACATACATACTGATGTTATATTTATGAAAGACTTTTGCATTATTTGTCCCAGTTTAAAACTGTACTAATGTAAGGACAGGGAAGTAGTTTAATAAAAAATAATATATCCGCACTGGCTTTCACCTTGTCTGTACACAGTCTGTGTGTGGGCAGCAGAGCTATATGACACAGTGTATTAGTGGATTAGGATACAAATTAATCCATGAGTAGACCAAGATTCTATTTTTAAACTGGCAGGCCTTTACTGTAAGAGTGTCCACCCAGCTGCAGCTTTCAATAGATTTGTGCAACTTTTATTTTCTATTTCAAACATCAAATCATATCAAACAAAAGGCAAGAAACATTGCTGGTTTAACATGAGAAGTGTCCCAGCCACAGGATTTCCCTAGAGGGTGTATAATCAGATCAGGTGATCCACAAAGGATTAAAAAACTTAGTTGTACTGTTGAAAACCATTACCGTCTGAACACTATCAGTTTAGGACTGAATCATAATCTCAACTGGTTAACACATTACAAAGGCAATTTTCCCTCTCTGGATATTCACATCTCTACACCAAATGCCGTGAATGATGCCTTCCATCCTGACTTGATTGGCTTAATTAACACTGGCAACTTCTTCTTTATATATACCCCTTCTTCTGTAACTTCCACTCCAATTCATCTGATGAAGTGGATTTTACCCACAAAAGTTTATGCCCTAATAAATCTGTTAGTCTCTTAGGGCATGTCAACATTAGAGTTATTTTGAAATATGTTATTTTGAAATAACTTTCAAAATAACAATTTTGAAATAGTGCTAATCCTCTTCCTCCAAGCAGGAGTTATCATATATATAGTAGCCCATTGTCTGCACGTCTGTAACACTGATATACATGGCCCCACCCCCTGGCCGTGTACGTTAGCAACCCGCTCCCCTTCCCCTCCCTCCCTGGTGGTTCGGCCCAGCGCTGTGCTGCTCAGCTTGGCCCCAGCGCAGCCCTTTGGGGTCCC